CCACCCTCCCTATCCCACCGCTCCAGGCGGTCACAAAGCACCGAGCTGATCTCCCTGTACTATGTGGCTGCTTCCCACTAGCTATCTACCTTACGTTTGGCAGTGTATATATGTCCATGCTTCTCTCTCGCATTGTCACTATGGGGCATTTTAGATACAGCCATATATGGAATTAGAGTTAGGGAATTCCCCAAGAACTTGTTTTTGTATCATCTTAGAATTTTAGTTTTTCTTACTTTTCCCTCAAATTGTGCTCCCATACTCTTATATTTCACCCTTATTGAAGTTTATTTGCCATTTTCTACCTGTTCACACAAGATGTGTAAATTTATATTATATAATTTATATTTATTTGCTTGACATTTTCCTACCTAGAAAAATACCATCACATTGGCAATTCCTTGAGTGTTTTCTCCACCTTCACTGTGCATCAGAATAGAGCTTTTAGCAACTGCAAAGGCCTGGGCCCCATTCTCAGACAGTGGAGGCGGGGAGGGGAAGACTTTGCTAATTTTTTTTAAAAGCAATTTGGGTGACTCTCGTGTGGAGCCAGGGTTGGAAGCCCCTGACCTAGGTAATTTATACACGTACTCCTTATATTGGGCCCAATCTCTGAGGCTCTCACCGTTGACACTTTTGCATCCAAATTCAGATCCATAAACTCCAAATCTTTTCTAAATTCCCCCAATTTATGGCGAAACATTTTTCCAAATCCTTGCCAGCTCAGTTTTTCTAGTACTTGCTGTAATGTCTGTCTGAGGCATTTTTGAAAGCTATTAATCATTAGCTCTTACTCACCCACCAGCTCGTGCTGCTACTTCTACTGACAACTCTGTGCGCACAGATAGGCTGGCATGTCTACGGTAAACACTGTTAATTCTTTGTTGAATTATTGTTGAACATCATAGGTACTCAGTATGTCTTTGCTGACCCAGAGTCTGTCATGATTTTGCCTTGTAGAAGAGATAGTGTCCTTTATCATCGAAGATAAAATTGGCTGTTCTTTGCCACCCCTGGATTAGCTGTTCGTATTCTTTCTTTTTTTTAATTAATTAATTTATTTATGGTTGTGTTGGGTCTTTGTTGCTGCATGCGGGCCTTCTCCAGCTGTGGCGAGCTGGGTCGTTGTGGTGCGTGGGCTTCTCACCGCAGTGGCCTCCCCTGTCTCAGCATGGGCTCCAGGTGTGCAGGCTTCAGTAGCTGTGGCACGCAGGCTCAGTAGTTGTGGTTCCCGGGCTCTAGAGTGCAGGCTCAGTAGCTGTGGCACACGGGCCCACTTGCTCCGGGGTATGTGGGATCCTCCCGGACCAGGGCTCGAACCCGCGTCCCCTACATTGGCAGGTGGACTCCTAACCACTGTGCCACCAAGGAAGTCCCACTGTTTGTATTCTTAATATCGAATCCCTTTCCTTTATCTCCCTGTATTTTAGTTGCTGCTGCTAATGCCATTGCTGAAGAAAGACGGAGTCAGGGTAGCTTTAGCGCTCTTCCATCACAGCCCTCAAATATAAAATCAGCATTTAAACCAGGTATAATTTCTAGAATGCTTTGATAGACGTCAAAGTGTTATATCCTTAAAGTTTGATATCCTATGTCTAACTGTATTCTTTCTTTTTTTTCAGTAATAGATGGATCTGTGCTTAAAAACGATGTAAAGCAAAGATTAGCAAAGGAGCGCAGAGAGGAGAAAAAAAGACAAGATGACGGTATATTTTAGACTTTTTAAAAAAAAATTAAAATGAGTGAATTTTACGTTAAGGTTATATTTCCAAAGTGGTTTTATTTACTTTTTAATCTGTTCATATGATAGATTACACGTTTTACAGTATGTGTTATACTGGATTAAGAGCTTATACTAAATGAGATAAAGAAGGTCCATGAACAATATTTGACCAAATTGTTTTATTTTTGAGCTAGTAGTTTCTTTTAGCTTTAATTTTCTGAAAATTAAGGTATGAAAATTTCTTCAACATTTGTAGAAACAAGCAAAATGGGATTTCAGAAAAATGACTTAGAAACAAAAATGAGGAAATTCCCTGGCAGTCCAGTGGTTAGCAGTCTGCTTTTACTGCTGGGGGTGGGTTCCAAAACAAAAACCAAAACCAAAAAAATAAAAAATGGAGTTGCTAATAATCCTAACATAGATATGGTATCTTTCACTGATTGTTATGCCTTTCAAGTGTAACTCTGTATCAATTAGGATCTAAAAGAATAATCTTTCTACACCTTGAGAGAATACTTTTTCATCTATGTATTTTTCTCATCTGGCCCTGTAAATCCACTGCAAAACTAGTGCTCAAGTTCATTCAAATAAAATAGCAATTGTCTTTGTTTTGGTGAGGAGCTGTTTCTTCCTGTAGCTCTTTAGAAGAGTATTTTACAACTTCATAGATGGCTCTCCAGGCTTTAGTGAGGGGAAATTTGAACGCAGGAAAACATCATGCTGGTCAATAATGTGGTATGTGCCTAAAGCCCACGAAGGTCAAACTGGCATGCTTAATATGGTCTGTCTAGATGAGGCCTTTGAAAAGAAGTTTTCTAGTAGAAGGGAAAAAAAACATATATTCTGGCCATGTGTTTTTTTTTTACATCTTGTTTTAATGTATAGCATATTAATCTGATGGGGTTTGACTTCAGCTCAAGTCAGCAGAAACATCACATGAAAGAAAATATTTCTTCTGAATTTGGAATTTTAGATTCGGACAGGAGAGTCATCTAAGCCAATTCAGTTCTCAGGAGTTAAATGAACACCCAGTGGAAATGATTCTTTTGTGGCCATCTCTGTTCACTTATATATAATAAGTCTTTAGTCATTAGCACAGGTTATTGTTATTTTTAAGAAAGAGAATAAAATATAAACTTTTTCCTTCTCTGTCTGTAATGTGGAAAACTTAAATATTTTCTTGGCATTTGGAATATTTCAGCTAATAAAGAGACACAACTACTTGAAAAAGAAAGAAAGTCTAAGATGCTATATGAAAAACAGATGGAAGAAAAGCAGCGAAAGCTGAGGGAACAGAAAGAAAAGGATGAACAACGGAGAATATCTGCAGAAAAAAAGAGAAACGAAAAGTTACAGGAAGAAAGGGTACATGTTTTTCTAGCCTGTTAATCAGATGATGCACTGTGTTGCCTGGTTCTGCAGTACTTTTTTTTAGCCCTTCTCTGCTTTTACTGGAACCAATCTCAATTCTTCTTTCATCTTTCCTTCGACATTAGCACCTCTTGCCCCATCCTGTTCCGAGCTTTGCACGTCCAGGGAGAGAACCCTGTCCACTTGCAGGGTGCCTGCGGCCTGGGCTTTGCTCTGAGCATCTTTCTCTCCTACAAAAGGTGTTGTCCCATTGCCTAGTATTCACTTACCCACCGTCCCAGGGCCCCTGAGAGGCCCCCGTCTGACCCTGACCTGCTCTGCTTCTCACCTCACTACTCCGCTCATCGAGTGAGTGGCAGAGGCCCAGCCAAGCCAGAGCCTCGCACTGTCCCACGGTTCCCTGGCTCTCTCTCCTTTGCGCTCTCTCCCCCCTCCCCTTCTTGTTCCTTTTTTTTCTCTCTGTTGTTTTGTAGCCCTGCTCTCTCTTTTCCTGCCTAGACTCTGTTTTGGTGTCTTTGGCACTCTGTTGGTATGAGTCACTGCCTCTGTTGTGCCCTCTCTTTCCCCCTCTGTCGCTCTTCATTCAGTTTGTCTTTGACTGTTGTGTGGGCATCTGGCTGCCTGTCTCAATCTGTATGATTCTCTGTGGCACCAAGTTGTTCCCCTGTAGGTTGTTCCACAGCTCTCCTCTGAGTGTCCTTGGCTCCTTCTGAATTAACATGTTCTGTCCTGTTCCTTGCTGTCATTCCCTCTTTTCTTTGTTCCAGTGACTCTCAAGTGCCCCTGAGTGAGCCTTGGTCTGTCTTTGGCTCTCTGTCTGACTGACTGACCTTTTTCTGCCCGAGGCACCTCCCTTTTCTTTCTGCTTTCTTTGTCTTAGCTTCTCCCTCTTTTCTTTCCCCATCTTTATAGAGTTTCTGCCTCTCTCAGTATGTGGGGTTTTTATCTCTCTCTCTTTTTTTCTGTTGCTCCAATTTTAAAATGTTTTTCCCTCTCCTTTTCTGTTTGGTTTCATTTCTCCCTAAGAGCCCCCTTCTCTGTGGTGCTCGCTTTTCCTCCTAATTTTTGCACACAGTTGGCTCTTGCAAATGCCTCACCCCCCAACCCTTAACCCCATTGGCGAATCTTCCTTATTCTAGGACTATTCCTGTGCTGTTTCTTCCCTGTCCATGGTCCACTAGCACCTTCTTTGTCTCTTTTTACCTTCTAGCACATTCCAGTATTTAATGAATTCTCATTCAGAACTTGTATCACTCTCTGTCTTCCTCTGTGAAACATCTCCTTAATTTACTTGTCTGTGGTAAAGAGAGTGAAGGCCAGAGAGACGGAACTAGGTAAAGAGAACCAAAGAAAGTAAAATAGAAAACTGTGCGCAGAGTCGGGGGGGTCCCTGGAGGAGAGAGAGTCCTGGGGACTGGGAGAGAAAAAGACCATCTTAGAGAAAGAGGAACCTGAGAGAGAGAACACCAAGAAAGAAGAAGCAACAAAATGATACTGTAGACAGAGCGGGAGCCAGAGACAGGGCAGGAGAAGAGGCCAGAAGACAAGGAGAAAGGGCAAAAGGAGAACCGACCCCTGAGAGCCAGCATGGGGGAGTCCCAGACAGAGCAGGGACAGGTCGACACTGTGAGGAGGCTGCACGGAGGAAAAGAGGAGTGCTGAGGAGGGGTGAGTGTGGGCGAGGCTGCATGGGAAGCAGGCCAGGAACTTGCAGGGGAGCCACAGGTGCCCTCCCGGAAGGAACCTGAAAGAGCACAGAGGGTCAGCGCATCTGGAAACAGCAGGTTAGAATGCTTAGGAATCAGAGATGTTTGAGTAATACAAGAATATTCTCTGTTTTTAGTCTTTATTATACTTTTTGGGTGTCTAAGTAATTTAGAAAAACTTACTTTCTGTTAGAAAATATAATTTTAAAATATTGCCATTAGATAAGTTTTATTTTAAGAATTGCAGTTGCTTTTCTCAGAGGATATGGGTGAGTCTCTGTTTTCCTAGTATGTTTACCCTATTTGCCCTCAGAGAAATGGTGGGAACATCGCAAGGATGATGTTGCTATGAAACGATTGTTGTCAGGGAAGAATAGAAAACCTTCTGGCCCTGAGTTGATTTGCTTACCTGAGTGTAGTCCATGGTATGTTACAGCACAGGGTGAGGAATAGCTGAGAAAAGAAAACTGCTTCTCATTTCCAGCAATGGCCTTGTTTCGCCACAGTGTAGCATTTACATTTGTAGAGCTGTTATCCTGCCCAGTTCAAATTGAAGCTGAGGTCAAGACAAACACATCTCTTTTTAAAAATTTGATTAGTTAACGCCAGAATTTAAGATGTTACAAATGTGGGTATAACAGATGATCTGGCATAGATTTCACATATGTGTATTAGTTGATTTGTTTTTCCTGCCTCATTCTACAAAGAATTTAAGGTATATTTTAAAAAAGACATACCCACAACCAGATGAGAAAATAAGTGGTTGAGGGAATCAAGCAGAGGGGGAAATTAAAGTAAGAAAATAATAAAACATAAGGTATGATTAGCACACACCAAAGTGTACCACTCAGTCTTTGTATTGTTGCTAGAATAGGCTACACATTTGGTTCTAAATTTCCTAATGGTATAATAAGCAAAGAGGGAAGCACAGTCACCTCCTCGATTCATGTCCATAAGATTAAAACCTAGTTATTCGGGAGAACGTGGATTGATACCCGAGATGATGTATTGAACTTTAACTTTTTACCTGAGATGTTTCCAGTTCTATATTTTATTTAAAAAAATTGGCCTGATTGAAAAAATTTGGTAGTGGGTGTATTTTATAACCGACAGATCAAAATTATACTAATCAATGTAATGCATATGTAAAAATTTGTTGGCATTTATTTTAAATAGGAGAGATTCAAAGCTGCCCTTCATCGTACACTGGAACGGAGCAGCCGTGTTGATCATCAAAAAAGATGGTCATGGGAAGGCTCTACAACAGTAAACTATCAGAATAAAACTGGTAATTAATACAACTGCTAAACTTTAAGTTCATTAATTTTCACATGTAAATATTGGCTACTAGTATAAGGTTGCATTTACTACAAAAGGTTTTGAGCTTTGTATCCTAGGTGAAAACACTGCCATGTACTTACTCTTTGGCATGCGTTTAAATTTGTGTCATGTGAGATCGCCAAAGAACCAGGTGAAATTTTATAGTAATTGTATTTTATCCACTATATCCAAAATCTTACCATTTAAACTTGTAATCAGTGTAAAAATGAATAACAATTGGTAAGCTTTACACAGCTTTATCCAGTGCATATTTTAAAAATAGTCTTGTTTAATATTGATGTACTGTAAATTTTTCCTATGTGTGGACATAATTCTATACAGTTGCATAAAATGTAAGTAAAATTTATATAGTTTATGCTCCATCGAAGTACATCATGAACTCATTTTGTTTCAGCTAGTGATGCTTTTTTAAATATGAGTACAGTAAATGTTATATCTTTTCTCAGCCAACAGACATTCTGTATCTACTGAAAAGCTTGAACAGGGGACTTCTGGATTACATAAACAAGTGTCATCTGCAAGTCCTCAAAATTCTGTTGCCAAGAGTAAGTAGTTATTTCATGTATTCAACTGAGTTTCAAACCAATGAAATCAATTCTTTATATGTATTTCCACTTATTTAGATTGTAGGACATTTCAGAAGAACACCACCTTGTTTTAAAGTAGAGATGGTCATTACTATTCTGTATTTTCATCAGTATAAATACTTGTTTCTTGATTTGTGTACTAATCATATCAGATGGGTTTGTTGGGCTTAGGTAGCCCAACAAATATGAAACATATTTTGACCAAAAGACATTGCCATTAGGTGGCACAATAATTTATTTTAGAATTAATTCATATTCTGTCTAACATATAAATGAAATCACTTTTTCTAGGGAATAGACTAGTCATTCAATTTTCATTAAGTTTCATGAATATTACCTCATTTAAGGAAAATGATAGCATATATATAGCAGTGGACAGGTTGATCTGCTTCACATATATATAAAGTTGACAGGCAAGTATAATTACCTTCCTAGTTGTATAGTTAAGACCCCAAGAAATTCGGTGATTTCCACTTCACCATACTTATTTATGGTTTATATTTTAGTCATTTGATAGATGGATCATGGTATTTAAATTGTACATTCCACTAGCAAGTCTGTGTTTTCCTCCAAAGCAAATAAAGTGGTAACAGTGTTTAATGAGAGAAGTATTGCTAAGCTCCACTTTACAACTCTTCCTACAGGTAATGCAGTGTTCTTTAAAATAAAACAAAGTTATCTACTATGGATACTTGAAATACCTTTTGCTCCTAGTGTTTGCACTTTTAATTAGCATTCCTTTTTTTCTTTTTTTTTTCTTTTGGCTGCCCAGCTTGTGGGATTTTACTTAGTTCCTCGACCAGGGATTGAACCCGTACCCTACGCAGTGAAAGCATGGAGTCCTAACCACTGGACAGCCAGGGAATTCCCTAGAGTTCCTTATCTTTAAAAAAAATCTTTACCAGAGTGTGTGTCAATGACCATGGCTTGTAGTACATGGTGCTTCTCATTGATAATTGAAATGGATTAGACAACCATACCCATATGGAGAAAAAAACAGAAGTGATCTGGGCAGGAAAAAGACATGGCAGACATACTCCACGTCATTCCCTCAAACTTAGCCGTAAGAAAAGAAGAAATACCACCGTTGTTGTACCTTGTGAATTGAGACAAAGGCATAATTATAGTTTGAATTAAAAATGTTTCTTTTGTATTATTAGTTGCCTTGGCAGTTTTTTGAGCAATGCTGATTGCTCTAAAATTCCACTACAGCAAAAGATTCTGGACCTCATTTAAAGTATAATTAGTTAGTTATAGCAATGGTTAACTTAGTAGGAAAGAATCCCATTTTTGTCTAAATATTATAGTTTTAATATGTTGAAAAGGATTTTTGTTTTGTTCATCCTTATGTTATTTGTACTTTTAGAACTCTTACAGTTTCCAACGATGAACTTGAGAGGTCTTTCATTGTTTGTCAGTCTTGGTGCATCTAATTTTCTCTTGTAATGCTCCAACAAAAGTTGATCCACTTTCCGCCCTTACCCTCAATATGCTTTCCCAGAGCACTTTTATGTATAGTCCAGGTTCATTCATAGATTAATGTGGGAGGATTTTCTTTTAACACCTTGCTTGTCATGTAATTAATTTATTATTCACAAACTCAATCCTTTAGAAAAATTAGGTAACATTCATTGCAATGTTATGTTTATATACTTTCATTTTAATTTATTTTAATTGTTTCATAAGCATTGACCATGTTTTACTATCTAATTGCTTGGAGGAATTAGCAGAGATTTCTTGCACAGACATTTATTACATTTTTAATATAATGAGCAAACACTAGTGTGTTTTCATTAATATGTGTGCCTGCTGTATCAATGAGACATGTAAAGAGAAGGGACAGGTGATGACTTTCAAGTTAATAATTAGTTGAATTGCACTGAAGGAACAATTCCAAGTAACTTTAATATAAGAAGGTATGTGTGGAAGATACTTTATGAAAGAGTTTGCTTAAAGTTACAGTATATTGCACACTCTGAAATGATGAATGCCGTTAAATTAATGATTCCCATAATTTTATTGAAAATAAAATCAATATTGTCAGTGGCTTACCTTTGTAAAATCCCTTCAAATTGAAATAAAACCTGTTCAATCCAGAGAGATGAACATTTCAAACTCAAATGAAGTTCATAATCTAACCTGTGATATTTTAAATAGCGTTGCTTTAAATCTTGACTGATTCAAATAGTCTGTTTTTCTTCTGCTCACTGCTGACTTATAATAACTGTTCACACTGTTTTGTCATTTCTTGCAGTGTGATAATGAGGGATAGGTGATTTCATCACATGGTCGAATTGATTACACTTCTGTGGTTCATGCTGTGCAATTACATTATCAATTCAAGAATTTTCATGAGACGCTATATTGTCATATGTACTTTAATTTAGAGGTTCCCAAAAGAGAAGTTCTTCTTTAAAGACTTTCATCAGTATCCTGAGCCATAATATTTCAAGTGAAATGGAAAGGACACAAAAGTGTCTTTTCCCATATGACTGGTTTGGGTTGCTAAAATTGTGACATCTATACCAAATGTTAATGATCATTTTTATTTAAAAAATGCTAGCTAAGGGACTTTCCTGGCAGTCCAGTGGTTAGGACTCGGTTCTTTCCTTGCCGTGGCCTGGGTTCAATCCCTGGTCAGGGAACTAAGATCCCACAAGCCGCGCGGCACAGCCAAAAAAACAAAAAAAACAAAGAAAAACAAGTTAAAACTAAACTATAAATTACTTTAGTAATAGATGTTATGGACTGTGTCCAAAATTAAATGTTGTACATTCCTAATTTGGGAACTTTGATGTTGTCAGTATCAGATTTTCCTGCTTAATTTTTACTGTTTCCTAAATAATTTTATTTCACTTCATATAACTTAACTTAAAGAGTAAACTAGTTTTAAGTTTGGGCATGTAAAATTTCTGCATAATACTTGAAATTTAAATAAGATAAAAAATGTCTGGGAACGGGTGGCTCACCCCTGAAATAATATATATAAACAGCTTATAAAAGGTAAAATTCTTTGCCTTTGATCTCCAGAAACAACAGAAAAGAGGAGAAGCTCATCTCTGAATAGAAGGTGTAGCAAACTGCATTCATCTACAGAACAAGTGGAAGAAAAAACACCTGGTTAGTTATTTCTTTTCTTTTCTTTTCTTTTTTTTTTTTTGCGGTACGCAGGCCTCTCACTGCTGTGGCCTCCCCCCTTGCGGAGCACAGGCTCCGGACGCGCAGGCTCAGCGGCCATGGCTCACGGGCCCAGCCGCTCCGCGGCATGTGGGATCCTCCCGGACCGGGGCACGAACCCGTGTCCCCTGCATCGGCAGGCGGACTCTCAACCACTGCGCCACGAGGGAAGCCCCTGGTTAGTTATTTCTATGTACCGATCTTAAATGGTGGTTTAAAAGCATTATATTTATGTCAACATTCAGCTGCTTGAAAAGCCATTCCAAAACATTGGAAGCCAAAATATCCCTTCTTTAACTAAAAAATGTACTTTGGTGCCATGCTTATTTGGCTAAAGCCAGAAGAGTCTCGTTAAATGAAATATATAATTCTGCAATGAAGCTGAGGAGGTCACAGAATGTTGATATAGACAGAGTTGTCCTGAAGCACTTGATTCCCTTCAAACGTTTCATCAGTTCACACATTGAAGTTCTAAATTACCGGCAACAGTTTGAACTTCAAAGCTTTGCTTTGTTGCTTCACAGCATAATCTACATCTATCCTTAGGGCGCGTTTTCACTGCTGATGATTACACACAAGATTTCCAAATTATTACTGAAGTACTTCTTTATGTAAAGTTGTTTCTAACACCACCCCTAAGTTTTCCCTGTTAAACATGATTTTCCTTTCTTTTCCGTAACAAACTGTTCACTTACAGAAGACTCTCCATTTAATTGATTCAGGTCACATCCTGTTATAACAAATGTCATTGTCACAGGGATCTTTTTTCTTTTTTTTATAAATTTATTTATTTTTATTTTTGGCTGTGTTGGGTCTTTTTTTCCGGATGCGCAGGCTCAACGGCCATGGCTTACGGGCCCAGCCGCTCCGCGGCATGTGGGATCTTCCCAGACTGGGGCACGAACCCATGTCCCCTGCATCAGCAGGCGGACTCTCAACCACTGCGCCACCAGGGAAGCCCTGTGTTGGGTCTTTATTGCTGTGCACGGGCTTTCTCTAGTTGCGGCGAGCAGGGCTACCCTTCGTCGCAGTGTGTGGGCTTCTCATTGCAGCGGCTTCTCTTGTTGCGGAGCACGGGCTCTAGGCACGCAGGCTTCAGTAGTTGTGGCTCATGGGCTTAGTTGCTCTGCGGCATGGGGGATCTTCCCAGACCAGGGCTCGAACCCGTGTCCCCTGCATTGGCAGGTGGATTCTTAACCACTGCGCCACCAGGGAAGCCCCTACAGGGATCCTTTTGAACATAAAAATTTATTGGAGCAAGCTATTTACAAGATTTACTTTTAACAGAATAATTCACTCAGTCTCTTGGAGCTGTTGGCAATCGACTTGACCAATATGACTGTCAGTGACATACATCTGGAGGAATCCATGTCAGAGTTGTTTTGTCATGTACAACTATTTTCTCCACGTGTGAGTTCCTCTGTAGAGACTCCATACATTGGGTATGGTTCTGCTAGATACATTACCTGGATTCCTGCTTTGGGGTTATTGTGGTATGCTGGGGCCTCTGCCCCTCTATTCAGGTATTCTTTTCCCTAACAGTGTAGTCCCATCAGGTGGCAGTTTTCAGTCCTGTTATATATGTGTGGCTCTCATTGCCTCGGCTTTTAGGCTGGGAAAGTTACCATTTGCAGCAGTTCACATTGCTCCTTCTTGCTTTGCATTTATTTGTGAGACCTCGAATCAAATCCTTTCTGTTTGTTCTCATCATTTAGTTTGTCAGTTATACACTAGTCTTTGGGAGAATAATTTAATCCGTCGCCTGTTCATCCCAACAAAAGCGTCAGTAGCCAGGAACAAAAGTACTGTTTCATTATTAATTTCTGGAAGCAGTACTCCAGGTAACAGGCATAGAGTAGAGTGCCTGAAAGTGTTAGTATTTGTGCTTAAAAGTAGGTTGTATCACTTAGTTTTTTACAGTAAGGCATAAAAATAATTTGAATCAATACTTTGCAAATGAGTGATTCTACCCAACATTTTATGTTGCATATTTATGATTTCTAGCAGGGTAGAATAGTTATCAGTGTAATTTATAGGATGAGATAGGGACCTTTGGTTGTTAAATTGTAAAACAGTGGGTTTCTTAACCTGTATTTAAGTGTATCACAGTACTGTGAAAAGTACTGGATTTTAAAAATATAGAAAAACTTAAATAATATCAAGGGAGGAAGTGTCCTACTCCACCCTTCTTTTTTTCTTAAAATGTGGAAGAATAACATTGAGTGGCTCTTTAGCTTTTAATTAAGAACATAAAGATTGTTAGTAAAATAAAACAGATCTTCAGGGTTATGTGGATTTTCTCATTTATAGGTTACATATCATGTTAGACATGCCTTTAGATAGTAAGTCCTTAGTAATGGAGAGCTCTAGTACATTGTTCCCATCCTTTTTGCCTTTTTTTCTCCACTTTTTCCTTTCCAGAATATATCCCACCCCCTTTGCTTATTTTTATGTCAATATCCATATGATTAGTAACCAAAGTGCTGTCATAGACTTTGTGGTAGTGCAGCTTTACTTCTCTTGGTTCAGATCCTCAACTTTGTTTATGCCTAGTTGTATGCGTGTCAGATTATTTTCTACCAGTTTCCCCTGAGTCTATTGTAAGGTATTCTAATTACTTTCATTTTATTTTAATATATTACTCCTATTAAAAACCTCAATATTTTGCCTTAAATTTCTGTAGCTATTAGAAATCTAGTTATTATACTTACTATATTTTCTGTAGCACAGTGTTAAATAAGTGACTGTTTAGGCACATACAAGTATGTAAGTAAAATGCTTTCTCTACCAAAAGTGAGGGACTAAAAAATAACCGAGTCTTATATTTACCAAGTCTTTAGAAAGCCACCACCAAACACCTTCCTTAAAATGTTTACTTTAGGGAATGCCCTGGTGGTCCAGTGGTTAGGACTCCATGCTCTCACTGCCGAGGGTCCAGGTTCTGTTCCTGGTCGGGGAACTAAGATCCCACAAGCCACGTGGTACGGCCAAAAAAAAAAAAAGTCACTTTATTATAAAGCAATAAATATTTAGTGTAGAAAATTTTTAAATATAATTTTCTATTATTCCAATACCCACTGATAACTGAATATTTTTCTTTGCGTTTACGTATTTTTTAATAGAATGGGATCATAACCTGCTTTTGTTTAAACTCAACATATACCATTTTCTATGTCCAAAAATTGTATATTATTACTCTTAATGACTGCCTTAGTATAGTCCAAGTTTTGTGTTGAATATTTGGATTATATTTAAATATAATTATTAAATTATATTATTAAACAATGCTGTAGTAAGTAATCTCATACATACATTTTCATTTATTTATCTGATTTTTTCTTCAGAATAACCTAAAAGTGAAATTGCAAGAACAAAGAGTGTGGACTTTTTATTTAAAAAAAATATTTATTGATTGATTGATTTGGCTGCGTTGGGTCTTAGTTGCGGCATGCGGGATCTTTGTTGTGGTACACAGGCTTCTCTCTGGTGTGCACGCATGGGCTTAGTAGTTGCGGCACGCAGGCTCTCTAGTTGTGGCGCATGGGCTCTAGAGCGTGCAGGCTTAAGTGCCCCACAGCATGTGGGATCTTAGTTCCCCAACCAGGGCTCGAACCCTTGTCTCCTGCATTGGAAGGCAGATTCTTAGCCACTGGACCACCAGGGATGTCCCGAGTGTGTACTTTTTAGAATGGCTTTTGATACACTATTGCCAAAATGCTTCCCAGGGAGCATATACCAATCCATACTTCCACCAGCAGTGCATGAGGTTGCCTGGTTCCCAACATTGGTATTATCACTTTCCTCTATCTTAGCTGGTACTGGATATTAGGACTTTTGTCCATTTGTTAGGCTAAAAATATTTAGATTGTTAAAGTTGGAAGAGACCTTGGAGATCCAGCCCATTCTGATTAATGTCTTATTACAATTTTTAGTATGGGTGAGAAAATGCTTTTTTATACTCTATTTTAAAACGACCATATATAGAATGCCTTATGTAATCACCTGTAATGGTAAGATCCCTGGCCTTGGTGACACTGTTTAGATTACTTGTAAAAAGCATTGAAGGTCTTGTAATTTCCTGTGAAAATCATTCTGAACTATAGTGTGATTAAAATAGAAATGGCTTACGGCAAACATCAGCTTTGGAGAAGCATCTTATTTTCGTCTGGAGTGGACTGTTGTTTTCACAATGCCTCTCTTGGTGGTGGTGCTGCATCTGAAGTACCAACTTTGCGATGATTCTGTTCTGTGTCTGTGATCCATTTCAGTAAACATTTTGTGTGGTGTGTGATCCCTGTCATTTCCTAATAAACGCAGTCTCTTTGTTTTTATATTGTTACATGGTGCATTTCTGTCTTATCAAATTTCTAGCTGTGTGGAATTTCACTCTCTGTCCTCATTTACCTACAGGCATCCACAATATATTCCAATATGTAAACATGCCCCTGCTTAAGCATAGCAGTGATGAATTGAAGAGTACCATAGTGCCTCACAAGTCAACAGTGGTAATACCTCCCCAGGAGAAAGTAGACACACCCTCCAAGACAAGCGTGGAAATGGCCCCCAAGGCAAGTGTGGAAGTGCCCCTGGAGGTGAGCGTGGAAGCACCCCCCAAGGCAAGCTTGGAAGTATCCCCTGAGGTGAGCGTGGAAGCACCTCCTGAGGCAAGCTTGGAAGTATCCACCGAGGTGAGCGTGGAAGCACCCCCCGAGGCGAGTGCAGGAACACCTCCCACTAGCGTGGAAACATCACCTGAGGCAAGCGAGGATCTGTTCCTTGAGGCGAGTGTGGATCCGTCCCCACAGGTGAGCATGGACTCATCCCCAGAGGTGAGCGTGGACTCGTCCCCAGAGGTGAGCACGGAAGCGTCATCTGAGGCTAGTGTGGAAGCATCTCCTGAGGCGCACGTGGAAGCATCCCCAGAGGAGAGCACAGAAGTGCCCTCTGAGGCAAGTATGGAGGCGCCCCCCGAGGCCTCCCCTGCGGTGACCATGGGAATGTCTTCCAAGGTGAAAATGAAAGACTCTCCACAGGTTCGACAAGTGCCTTTCATTGAGAAATTTTCTATTAAAATCTGTATGTTTTGTTGTGTAGATTATGATAGGTCAGATTTCACAACATAAGCAACTTCTTAGTTATAGCATTCTGTGATAAAATAAAATAAATTCACTTTAATAATTTAAAATTATATGATATTCGTTGTCACAGAGTTTACCCCCCCAAAGCTGGAATATTAGTTAATTTTTAGTAGAAGAGACAAAATAAAGCAGTTTATATGAACTGTGTTTCTAAACTCAGAAGGAACGTTTTTGAGAACTATTGCAAACCTCAATTAGGTTTTAAAAATAAAAGTAGGTTTTGAAGTAAAAGAATTCTTTTAAATTATTTCTATGACATGCTTGAATTGTGTAATATAAATTGTTAGTCTGGAAGAATGTATCTCTGTACCAAATTCTCATGCATGAAAGGAAAATTGGGAGTTTAAGGAGCTACAATTATATGTTATTCAGAATATTTTTCTCTTGAAAAGCCAGCTGCAAAAGGTAATGCTAGTAATTTCTTATCTGATTGTATTGATCTGTTCAGAAATCAGAAACGGACAAACAGGCCTCAAACCCGATTACGAAGAAGCGCCTACCACCATCACAGATACCGTGTTATAGATGGTCATCTTCTCCTACAAGCAGGTGGTGTCCTCCATCTCCCATCAGTGCTAGGTAAGTAGCTTATTTGCCACTGTTCCTGATACGTATTTTACCGGGATAAATTTCACATCAGTGTTTCATAAATAATGTAGTGTGCATGGTAATGTAAATATGAAGGGAAAAGCCTTTAAAAATGGATTTACCTTTGTCTGTTATAAAATATCATTATGTCATAAAGTCAAGATATTACAGTTTATGAAATGGTACACTAAAAATCATCACATATGTATTACAAAACCATACCAGACTTCCCCCATTAACTATTACTTTTCCCCAGCAGGCAAATCCAAAAGAATCGCCCCCCGTCACCTTCACCTGCCACGTCAAAACAGTCGACACAGTTTTCTTTTTCCTGTAGAATAATTCCTATGCAGCGTACCGTATTTGCACAAAATGCATTAGGTACTATTGGAATGAAAAGTGAAGCCATCTCTAACACCATTAACAGCTCTGAGACTGCAAGCCAAAAGGATATGATCTGTGAAGGTGAGTTCCTTCACTAAGAAGTTCATTTCAGCAACACAGAAAGTAGTTTGGGAACTGTCAACGTCATTTTATTCCCCAGTTCAGAGAACTTTAGGAAGCGAACTTTCTTTTAAATAAAGAGAATTTCACCAGTCACGCTGGCACACTGCTTTTTTTTTCTTGCTGGAACTTCTTACCCCCATTTTTGGAACTGATATTGGAAGTATGGATGGGTTGGATGAGCGCCATGGTGTAGGTGGTGCCTGCATTTCCTTCCAGCTCCGATAGCGGATGGCCCTAAGGTATTTTCCGTCCTTGGAGAGAGCACTCCAGCCATTTGTGGCTGAGCAGGTTTCCTTCAGGAGCTGTAGGGCAGTTTCCATACATAGACCATACATGTGTCAGGTCAGTATGTGGGTTCCAAAAAGTATCATATTGGTATTTTGCCATTCTTTTTTTAATTGAAGTACAGTTGATTTACTATGTTGTGTTAGTTTCTGGTATACAGCAAAGTGAATCAGCTATATATGTATTCTTTTTCATATTCTTTTTCATTATAGGTTATTGCAAGATATTGAATGTAGTTTCCAGTGCTATACAGTAGGACCTTATTGTTTATTTTATATATAGTAATTCATATCTGCTAATCCCAAACTCCTAATTTATCCCTTCCCCTGCTCCTTTCCCCTTTGGTAACTGTAAGTTTGTTTTCTATGTCTGTGAGTCTGTTTCTGTTCTGTTTTTTTTTAAATTTTAATTGAAATACAGTTGACTTACAATGTTGTGTTACTTTCAGGTGTACAGCAAAGTGATTCAGTTAATACACACACACACACACACACACACACACACACACACACACATTCTTTTTTTACATTCTTTTTCATTATAGGTTATTACAAGATATTGAGTATAGTTCCCTGTGCTATACAGTAGGTCCTTGTTGGCTTTCTGTTTTATATATAGTAGTATGTATATTTTAATCCCAAACTCCTAATTTTTTTAAAAAAAATTATTTATTTTTTATGGCTGTGTTGGGTCTTTGTTTCTGTGCGAGGGCTTTCTCTAGTTGCGGCAAGCAGGGGCCACTCTTCATCGCGGTGCGTGGGCCTCTCACTATCGCGGCCTTGTTGCGGAACACAGGCTCCAGACGCACAGGCTCAGTAATTGTGGCTCACGGGCCTAGTTGCTCCGTGGCATGTGGGATCTTCCCAGACCAGGGCTCGAACCCATGTCCCCTGCATTGGCAGGCAGATTCTCAACCACTGTGCCACCAGGGAAGCCCCCAAACTCCTAATTTATCCCTCCCCACTCCTCCCCTTTGGTAACAATAAGATTGTTTTCTATGTCTGTGAGTCTATTTCTGTATTGTAAATAACTTCATTTGTATCATTTTCTTTGATTCCACATATAAGCGATATCATATGTTACTTGTCTTTCTCTGTCTAGCTTACTTCACTTAGTATGATAACATCTTGGTCCTAATATGTTGCTGCAAATGGCATTATTTCATTCTTTTTTATGGCTGAGTAATATTCCATTGTATATATGTACCACATCTTCTTTATCCAGTCCTTTGTCGATGGACGTTTGGTTTGCTTCTATGTCTTGGCTAATGTAAATAATGCTGCTGTGAACAGTGGGGTGCGTGTATCTTTTCGAATTAGTGGTTTTCTCCAGATATATGCCCAGGAGTGGGATTGCAGGATCATATGGTAGCTCTATTTTTAGTTGTTTTTTTGTTTGTTTGTTTGTTTTGTGGTACGCGGGCCTCTTACTGTTGTGGCCTCTCCTGTTGCAGAGCACAGGCTCCAGACGCGCAGGCTCAGTGGCCATGGCTCATGGGCCTAGCCGCTCTGCGGCATGTGGGATCTTCCCTGACCAGGGCACGAACCTGTGTCCCCTGCATCAGCAGGCAGACTCTCAACCACTGTGCCACCAGGGAAGCCCCCTATTTTTAGTTTTTAAGGAACCTCCATACTGTTCTCCATAGAGGCTCTACCAATTTACATTCCCACCAGCAGTGTAGGAGGGTTCCTTTTTCTCCACACCCTCTCCAACACTGATTGTTTGTAGACTTTTTCATGATGGCCATTCTGACTGGTGTGAGGTGATACCTCATTGTAGTTTTGATTTGCATTTCTCTGATAATTTGTGGTGTTGAGCATCTTTTTGTGTGCCTTCTGGTCATCTGTGGCTTCTTTAGAGAAATGTCTATTTAGTTCTGTCCATTTTTTGATTGGGCTTTTGTTTTTTTGTTACTGAGTTGTATAAGCTGTTTATATATTTTGGAAATTAAGACCTTGTAGGTCACATTATTTGAAGGTATTTTCTCCCAGTCCATAGGTTGTCTTTTTGTTTTGCTTACGGTTTCCTTTGCTGTGCAAAAGCTTATAAGTTTGATTAGGTCCCATTTGTTTATTTTTGCTTTTATTCCTATTGCCTTGGGAGACTGACCTAAGAAAACATTGCTACGATTTATGACAGAGAATGTTTTGCCTATGTTCTCTTCTAGGAGTTTTATGGTGTCCTGTTTTATATTTTAATAGTCTTTAAGCTATTTTGAGTTTATTTTTGTGTATGGTGTGAGGGAATGTTCTGACTTCATTGGCTTACATGTGGCTGTCCAGCTTTCCCAACACCACTTACAGAAAAGACCGTGTCTTCTCTGTTGTATATTCTTGCCTCCTTTGTCAAAGATTAATTGAGTGTAGATATGTGGGTTTATTTCTGGGCTCTCTATTCTGTTCCATTGATCCATGTGTCTGTTTTTGTGCCCGTACCACACTGTTTTGATTACTATAGCTTTGTAGTATTGTTTGAAGTCTGGGAGGGTTATGCCTCCAGCTTTGTTCTTTTTCCTCAGGTTTGCTTTGGATATTCTGAGTCTTTTATATATGGTTTCATAAAAATTTTAGGATTATTCTGGTTCTGTGAAAAATGTCATGGGTAATTTGATAGGGATCACATTAAATCTGTAGATTGCTTTGGGTAGTGTTGCGATTTTAACAATATTAATTCTTCCAATCCAAGAGCATGGGATATCTTTCCATTTCTTTAAATCATCTTCAGTTTCCTTTATCACTGTTTTATAGTTCTCAGCGTATAACTCTTTTATCTCCTTAGTCAGGTTTACTCCTAAGTGTTTTATTGTTTTTGATGCAATTTTAAAAGGGATTTTTTTTCCCTTTCTGATACTTCATTGTTAGTGTAAAGAAATGCAACGGATTTCTGTATGTTAATCTTGTATCCTGCTACTTTGTTGAATATAGATGCAAAAATTTGAATTTGTTTATCAGTTCTAGTAGTTTCTGTGTGGCGTCTTGTGTGGGTTTCCTATATATAATATCATGTCAACTACATATAATGACAATTTTTCTCTTTGCTTCCAATTTGGATACCTTTTATTTCTTCTTCTTCTCTGATTGCTATGGCTAGGACTTCGATACTGTTGTTGAATAGAAGTGGTGAGAGTGGGCATCCTTGTCTTGTTCCAGATTTTAGCAGGAAGGCTTTTAACTTTTCACTTTTGAGTATTAGATTGGCTGTAGGTTTGTCAAAGCTTTTATTATGTTGAGATATGTTCCCTCTATACCAACTTTGGTAAGAGTTTATCATGAAGAGATGCTGAATTTTATCAGAAGCCTTTTCTGCATCTATTGAGATGATCATGTGTTTTTTGTCATTTCTTTTGTTGATGTGTTGTATCACGTGGATTGCTTTGCGTTTGTTGAACCATCCTTGTGACCCTGTGATGAATCCCACTTGATCATGGTGTATGATCTTTTTTGTGTCGTTGGATTTGGTTTGCTAACATTTTTTTTGAGAATTTTTGCATCTATATTCATCAAAGATATTGGCCTGTAATTTTCTTTTTTGGTATTACATGCATTCTTAATATCCATTGACATTACTTAATTTTAAATACACTTGTAAATTTTGCTTTTTGAAGGAATTCCACTGTGAATTCTTTGTAACAGAAATGATATTTTTATTACAAATTATTTATTCCTGATTTTTTGAAATCTTCTTTTTTTTTTTTTGCGGTACGTGGGCCTCTCACTGTTGTGGCCTCTCCCGTTGCGGAGCACAGGCTCCAGACGTGCAGGCTCAGCGGCCATGGCTCACGGGCCCAGCCGCTCTGCGGCATGTGGGATCTTCCTGGACCGGGGCACAAACCTGTGTCCCCCACATCGGCAGGTGGACTCTCAACCACTGCGCCACCAGGGAAGCCTTGAAGTCCTCATTTTTGTACGTAGTTTATTTAAAACAAATTCGTCATACTTAAAACAAATTCATCACATGAACTAAAATGTTATGCCTCCATGTGGTCACTTTATTTTACTGATAGTCTTGGTTTCTTTGATTATCTATAGTTAGCCACTTTATGATCAACCAAATATGTTAGCATACTATTATCAACAGTTAGCTAAACTATTTATTTAGTAAAGATGATGCACAATGTACGCTGGATATATTTTTGTTTAATCGAGTAATTAAGATTTATACACTTCAGGGAATTCCCTGGCGGTCCAGTGGTTAAGGACTCGACGCTTTTACTGCCAGGGCCCAGGTTCGATCCCTGGTCAGGGAACTAAGATCCTGCAAGCTGCATGGCATGACAAAATAACTTAAAAAATAAAAGATCTGTACACTTCATTTGGACCGAGCATAAGCTTATATCTTAAGTTTTTTCCCATAGAGGCAATTCAGTCAGGTATCTCAAAACAGCTAAACCAAAGCAGGAGTACATTATTTCATTTTGAAACAGGTAGTTGTTAAAAATCAACAATATGCTACTTCTGTTGTTTGGGGGTGGGGGTGAGGGGGCGGGAGCTGGGCTTTTGAACAAAAGCTGTTACATAAATCACTTATAGTTTTATTTATACATTTTAGACCACGGACATACTGTTTGGTTTTTTTTAACATCACAGGTTGTCTTGCACCTCTTTGTTGGACTTAGAGGCAGTAAGTTCCCTAAACTTAACTGTTTTACATGTTAATTTAAATTAGAGTCTGGTAATAAAAGCACACCAGGGCCTATGAATGCTGAAGAGGCAACAAAAATTTTGGCAGAGAAACGACGCCTTGCTCGTGAACAAAAGGAAAAAGAGGAAGAAAGACTACAAAAAGAGATGGAACAAAGGTTGGCACAAAATCATCCTTTCTATATTGTAAATCTTGGCTGGGGCCTGAATTCTGGAAGTCAGACTTTATCCTCAAGTTAGATGTATTATAAGTTCTCAAATAGTAACTGACTTTTTCTTCAGTGTGAATCAGAAATGACTCGTCGCCTTTTAAACAAATGTGGGGAGCATTTCAAGCAGACAGGATGCTGGTGTGTAGATGAGTGTATGGTCCTTTTTAGTCTCTATGTGTCATGTGCCGTCAGGTGTGCTGTAAAGATGCATAGAGACCTGAACTCATGTCAGGGGCCTGGATCTCAGTGGAAGCACCTGAGTGATCACACAAGACTCTTTCTGTTGCCATTCACTGGCATCAGCCCCTTTCTTTATTTCAAAAGTCCTTTATAACTTTAGAATTTGTAAACCTGTTTAAGAATAAGTTGCGTACATCATGACCCTTTCCTGCTAAATACTTCCGTGTATACTTCCTAAGAACAAAAGCATTCTCTGACATAATCAGAGTATAATAACTAATATCAGGAAATTTATTATTTTATTTTCTAATTCAGAGTCAGCAGTTCAATTTGCCATTTGTCCCAGTGACATTCTTTATGCAGTTTTGTTTTAGTTCAGAATTCAATCCTTAGACGGTTCATAAAAAATAATATATACTCACACATAGAGTTAGTAACTGGTAAAGCAACTTTGCTTGAAACTTTTTTGTAAGTTTGAAAATAAAAAGTTACCAAAAAAGAAAAAATCTGTAAACCTGGAAAGGATACTTCTTGTGTTTTACTGGGTTTCCAATGACTTGTGGGCTGCCATTGTCATGTACGGTTGTGTGCATTCTACCTCAATCTAAAGGTTTCTTGATCTTCAATCTCAAGGCCCGTTTGATCTGGGGCCTTCTGATGTAAACCTCTGTCCACTGCCTGCAAAGAATAACTACAGTCCTGACTTTGTTTTTAAGTATTAAATGTTTTTGAATCACAGTCACATGCTTTCCATGTACCTTATATGGGTTTGGGAGAAAGGAGGAGGAGACATTATCAATAGAAAAAACACCCCTGTAACTTGAAGAATATTATTCATTGCTTCGTGTAAACAGAGCTAGTTTAACATTTTAAAAGCCCTGAATACCAGTCATTGTAGACTGGGCTTTTCTCCTCTGAGCACCACCAGACCCTCCTCTAAATTCGTCTCTCACACCCCCATGTGAGACTGGGTGTGAGCATACGTCTAAAACAGTTAAGAAGGAGTGATTTTATAGCACGCACATTTGTGTTTTAAGACGCAAAGTAGCCCACTACTTGATAGAAATCTTTTTCTACTCCCAAGGGCTAGCTTCCCCCATTTAAAAAAGATGAAATCATGCAAATCCTGTGTAGTAACAACACAGAAAAAGTGGTGAATCTGGTGTAAATAGAAATTGTATTACTATACACAAGCAGCTTTACTATAAAAATGCACATAATAAGAGTTATTTAAATATTCTGTGTCATCAGGAAAATGAAAGACATAGCAAAGAAAGCAGATGAAGGCCAACAAGAGGAGTTCTCAGAATTTGGAGATGGGCAACCACCAAAGGAGATAAAGAAGGAAGGAAGTCAAGAACAACAAGACCAAAGAGTAGAACTCCAGGTTTGCCGGCTCCCCACTTGATCAAGGGATGAGAACCAGATTCTAAAATTCAGTAGAAACCCAAAGCAAAAGTCTATTTCTCCAAGACAGAAAACAAGCAGATGCTGCGTGCTCTGGTTGCATTCACATTACAGTCTCGCTGTTACCAGTGTCTCTGTGAGTTGTTCTCAGCCACCCTTGGCCGAATCCCAGAATGTTTTCCAAGTGAAACAAAAGCAGAAAGCAGCAAATTACAGATGAGCAGTCCTTTAGTCTGTCTCCATAAATAATATTACAGCTTGGCTTTGGGAAATCCAGATCGCTCACAGAGATTAAACGTCCTGTGTGAGTTTTCCCAGCCCTGCATTCTATGGTGACACTTAACACCTGTGCCACAACAGATAAGATACAAATTATGAATGCCTCATCAGATTCACTGATGAGAATGTCACCCATGTAAATTTAAATCACCAGGTAAATAAACCCCCAAACTGAGCTCAGACTATACTCAGTTTAAATTATTGTTGTAGCCTAATTTATATTCCAGTTTTAGTGTATCATTTATCAAAATCAATTAATATGTTACATAAATGATTGTAATGCATTTGCATTCCTCGAGAAAATACCTTTAGGAATCCTCTTGCTGCTTTTGAGAAGTGTAAGACTTGGCTTCTGATGCCTGTGTCAGTGGAAGACTACACAATCACATACATACTTGAAACAATCGTGGTCTGACAACCCTGAGGTCCTGAAGGGGATTAGCATGGCTTGTAAATCCTTGTGATAATAGTTAGGCTAGTTCTTGTGTATTTTTGCTAATGGTTTGGAAACTGATGATCCATGAATGTTATATATGTGGGTACTCTCAATCAAAAGGTTACATTCTTTTATTCTGGATAACATCTTACTGTTTCACTGATGTCATTCAGATATATTGAGATTAAATGATATTTTTATACAAATTTTCTAGAAAAGTGATGCCAAAATAAAAGCTCAGGAGGAGGCTGACAAACGCAAGAAGGAACACGAGAGAATTATGTTACAGAATTTGCAGGAGAGATTAGAAAGAAAAAAGGTACTCCTTCTCTCTGTTTGGGGGGTTTGATTCTTTGTTTAAAACAATGTTGGGCACATGATATCAAAACATGTTTTTGAAAATGACAAGTGAGTGATATGCTAGCCTTGATTGTTTTCCCTCTGTGCTCTCTTATCCAAGGATCTGACCCCTTCTCCCTAGAATGATCTCTTACTGATCATACGTCTCCCTCGTGGACCACTGATGACCATTACAGGGATATCTGTACAGCAAATCTCTGGGAACAAGGCTCCTTTGAAAAGAGTCACTCAGGTCATGGTAGGGGTTGGTGGAAGTTAGAGTTGTTTCTAAACTGGGCTGGAAATTGCAGCAACTGAGTGGGAAGAAGCAGAAGGTGGAGGCTTCCCTGAGAAGCCAAGGCGCAGGCTGTTTGTAAGGTAGGACCTCACTTTGTGCAACCCACGTGGCTTGTCTGGGAGCAAGGAAGGCTCTGGACCAGGCAAGGTACTTCATGGCATCTCTGTCAGGAGATCAGTCACCCTGAGGAGGCCAGAGAGCTGAAGCTCTCCTCGCCTTCAGGAAAGAAGGGAGCTCTTATCCCTCCTGTGTGTGCTCCTTCTAGTAACAAAACCTCTGATGGGGTTGCATTGTTGGGGTGCATTCTTTTCATTAACTCGGCTTCACTCGTGGTCTGTTCAGACTAAAATCATGTTCACAAGTTCTAATTGGTTTGCAGTAATATGTGCTTAGTCTAAGTAATAAACTTCCACGTCGGCAAAATCAGGAGTGAGAAGTCATTTGGATTTCTGTGTTAGGATAACAAGTACGCCCATCACTGCTCAGGGTGTTTTCTAGATGATCATGAAACTGGGCTTGAAGGAAGGCACCCAGGTGCCGGCCCAGGGTCTTGCGTTGGTTATATCTGTGGCGTTGGAGCAGTCACTGATATATATTGTCCGCTTCTGGAACATGGAAATAATCAACTTCTTCAGGACCAGTGTTTTGTTTTTAATCTGTTTTCATGTTTGAATTTTTATTTTCCTTTAAATAGAGAATTGAGGAAATTATGAAGCGGACAAGAAGGCCAGATTCAAATACCTCAAAGGTAGTCTGTGTGCTCCTACCAGCAGTGTATACGAATTCCTGTTGCTTCACATTCTTGCCGACTTTTTCATTTTTGCCCATCTCTGGTGGTAACGAAATAACATATCACATTGGCATTTCCCTGATTATTAAAAAGGTTGAGCATGTTTTCATACCTTTAGTTAGCTTTCATGTTTTTTCTTGTGTGGAATGCTTGTTTAGGTCTTTTGCCCAAAATTTTCTGGCTGACTTGTCTATTCCTTGCTCATTGGTAGTTCTTTAAATGTTCTAGAAACTTCTCCTTTCTTGTATGTGTTGCAGATATCTTCTCCCAGTTTGTGGCTTGTCTTCTTGCTGTCTGCTGCTACATAGAAGTTCTTGATTTTCACATCGCTGAATTTATCAATATTTTTGGATGACTAATGGAGTCGGGTGCCTTATTGGCCATTTGGAGATTCACTTTGGTGAAGTGCCTTTTCAAGTCCTTTGCCCCTGTTTCCATTCGGTCACCTGCCTTTTTCCTATTGATCTGTAGGAGATTTTACCTGCTCTACTTCTGAGCCCTTTGGACATCTGTATTGTAGTTATTAGCCCCTGTGCGGTAGTTTGCCTCACACTCTCATAATGTCTTTTGATAAACAGAAGCTTATTTTAATGAACTGAAATTTAGCAGTTTCTTTCCTTTATGGTTAGTGCTTTCAGGGTATATCTCATAAGTATTTGTTTACCGCCACCCTTCCCTCCCTGGCCCCAGTGTCCTGTCTTTTGATGGTTTGCGTGCATCTAAGGTCTTTTTCCCCCAGATTCTGTGTTCTTTACCCTCTGAGCTACAAAACTGATATTTTGCCTATTTACAGTTGCCCAGTTGTGGTCACTCATACCATGAAAATTTAGAATAGAAATGTCATTCCTGAAAAGTGCTGGGAGTTGCCATCTCAAGGATCATTTAGCCCATTGGCCTGAGATGCCCTGCCTCAAGCAGCAGCCAGGAACTTTTTTAGCCAGGGCCCCACCTTGGCAGATCCCCTGTGCCAGCCCAAAGCTGTTGCCCCTTGGCTCCCACTCAGGGAAGTCTTTCATTCTTGAGTGGCTTTCCCGAGCTGCAAGACACGGGCCACCTGTCCTGTCCTCTGTAGATTCTGTGGGCCAAAGAGGTTAGATTTTATTTTTTTTTTACCTTTTAACCGATATGACAAAAATTAGCCATCAATCCAGGTGTGAAATCTGTCTTTTTAAATTTATTTTATTTATTTTTATTTTTGGCTGCATTAGGTCTTTGTTGCTGCACGTGGGCTCTAGTTGCAGCGAGCGGGGGCTACTCTTCGTTGCAGTGCGCAGGCTTCTCATTGTGGTGGCTCCTCTTGTTGCGGAGCATGGGCTCTAGGTGCACGGGTTTCAGTAGTTGTGGCTCGCGGGCTCTAGAGCGCAGGCTCAGGAGTTGTGGCGCATGGGCTTACTTGCTCCGCGGCATGTGGGATCTTCCTGGGCCAGGGCTTGAACCCATGTCCCCTGCATTGGCAGGTGGATTCTTAAACACTGCGCCACCAGGGAAGCCATGAAATCTGTCTTCTTTGAAATAACTAAGTCAGGATGACTGAATATTAGATGTAATTCATGACTTTCATTTTTCATGGTAGGCTACAGAAACATTCAGCAATGATGCATATGAGGAGGACGAGGCAGACGATGAGGACGAGTCAGAAAGTGACAGTGATTCCTTTGATGACATGCATCCATCAGGTTTGCTTGCCTTCTGAGTTCTGTTAGTCAGTATTTAGAAGCTGGACTGTCTAGGCTCATCCAAAGGTTTCTCCACTTCTGAGCTGTGTGGATTTGAGCAATTTACTCAGCCTCTCTGTGTTCAGTTTTCCCGTCTGAAAAAGGAGAAGCTAATGTTGTTCTCTCCTTAGGGTGGGCATGAGATTGCAGTGAGATCATGTAGTGCTAACAGTGCCTGACACATAGCAAACTCTCAATAAATATTAGCTGCTGCTACAGCTGTTACTGTGTTTCAGGTTGTGCTGAGAGACTGTAAACGGCAGCTCTTTCTCATCTCAGTGTGAGGCTTACTAGCATCTCGCAGTTTAGGACCTTGTGGCGCATTCATGACTGACCATAGGTAGAATGCCACTCCCCGCCTCACAGAGAGAATGAGAATCATGTCGTGATATGAGCACCCCTAAGGTGTATTGTTGAGTCTCGTTCATTCCCTGGTGAGTAGGAACCACTTAATGGCCACAGTAACGGCATTTGAGAAAACACGATTCGTTCACCCTTTATGGCGTAGCGTGTATCGAACACACAAGTCGGGCGCTCTGCTAGCTACTGGGGCCTCGAGGAACCACAGCTAGTGGGGAGCTAGACATGAACAGACCGTGGTGCTGCCACAAGCTGGTCACACTTAAAAGAAGTTTGGCCAGAATGCCACGAGGACGGAGCAGTAGGGGCAGCTGAGCTGTAGGCTCCACCTTAGGGCATTGGAAAAAGTTGAGGTCGGAGGTAAGACTAAAATAAGAGGGTCATCAGGAGGAGGGGCGAGAAGCGCGGTGCCATCCTGCCCTCTGGCCGTCATTCTTTGCTGGCAAAGGAGAGAGGGCAAGTTCCTTAAAGGTGGCGCTTTGTGCTTTGAGGGCTGGCTGGGCTTGTGCCCTGGGCAGTAGTGCAGGCCATGGCTCCAGGAAGCGCTGCCATGAGACGGCTCCTGCCTTCAGGCAGGCTCCCTCCCGAGCCGGCAGGCACCTTGCTTGTCTTGTTGTTGAAACTCCAGTTTTAATCTTGTTGCTCTTTTTTTTTTTTCCTCTAGCTTTTATAAATGGCACAGAGTCATCCACAAAACCAAAAACACATTTTAAAAATGTGAAGAACACTCGCAAGCTGGTGTTTTTAGATGAGACTTCGAGCTACATCCGTAAAGAGACAAAAACACTTTTAAATTGTGACATGAAAACCTTCAGACAAAAAAGAGTGAAAGACCCTTTGAATCAGACAAAGAGTGCCAGGTGAGTCCCTAGGTGAGTTCATCAGAATACACTTGGAAGGGTTATGATTGGCATTCTTAGAACGATGCATGAGATTATTGACTGAGCTCTTAGTTTATACCAAACACTGTGTCAAGCACTTGGCTTATAGAAACAAACTAATCCCCACAGCAGCCTTGCTTAGTGAGGATGAGCATCCCTATTTTTACAGGCGAGGAAACTCAGGCGTGCAGAGATTATGGGCCTTATTTGCCCAGCATCCCACTGTTCAAGGGCAGAGCCCAAATTCAAACCCAGATACACCTGACTCCAAACTGTGCTTTTATTCATGCTGGTTAGTGTTGTCTCATACAGTCAGGGAAGGGGACATTGACTGAGTGACTGCAGGCATTTAAACTATTTTAATTCTCATTGCAACTCTGAGTTTGATATTAAAGTCCTCACTGTACATATGGGAAACTGAGGGTCAGAGGTTAGGTTAGAAGAACAGGACCAGATAGATTCCTGGAAAGGAAGGCTCCTTGGGCGATGGCCTGAAAAGACATTAACCTGCAAGGCCTGTGGAAACAATCTGCTAAGAGACTCAGTGATGGCGTGGAAAGAGCAGTGGAGCTGGTAAACCCACATGAGTCCTCACTCCACCTTACTGGCCGTGTCCTGGATCTGCTTGCAGTAGGGACAGCGTCCCTAGAGCCCTGCATGCGCAGCTGCTTCTGGTCCCCTCAGCGTTCCCATGGAGCCCTAGGACCTGGGAGGACACAATTTGGAAACCAGTGTGTTCTGTGAACTCCAGGGTCCCTTCCATCCAGCCTTCCCATTCTGTGATTCTGAAAGTTTATTTATGTCCAAGGCATTTCTTAGAATTAAATAATAAAGCTTCTTTCAGGCAAAGCCTTGGTTTGGGGATAATCCGGATTATAACCAAAATATCTCTTTCCAGATCCTCCACCAAAAGAACAGCCAACCGAGCAGCCAAAACCGGAAAGGCAGAAACCAGCAACACTGTGGGACCTTCCAAGAGCTTACATTCAGAGGCACAGGATTGGATCTGTGACAAGATTATTGACATCACAAGCGAGATAGAACCACCGAAGTCCAGTATGCCTCCTGATAGCCGAAAACACCATCTGAAAGGTCCCATGACATCCTGCCTAAGTCACCAGCCGCCTATAGACAACAAGAAAACAAGCAAATCTGTTTCTGCTCTATCGGGTAAGGCCTCATCCCATCTTCATTTCATTTGAAAGGTAGTTGACCTTGAACCCCCCTGTGTTTCCAGCTGTTCCAGGGTTGTCTTGGTGAGGGAGAAGACAGTGGTTGGTCTAAAACTAGGTTGATGTGAAGAGCCGTCCATTAAGTTAGTTTTGAGAGGGTAAATGACTTGATTCTAATTTTTATGGCCTGCATTTCCTGCCAGATGTACAAAGTGGGGTTCATTTCAAACCCCAGACCCCTCAGGTTCCTCTGCATTCCTGATCCACTGGCTGCTCTACAGCACACAGATAATCATTCAGGGCAGAGGGTTAGTGAGTTTTTTGGAATTAGTCTCTCAACTTGTGTTTCCAAAACCAAACGGCCTGTGTTTTTCTTTCCTTGAGAAGCTCTCTTTGAAATTGAGAGGAGCTTGGGCCCATTTGGGGGTTGGGGAACGTTTATAAGAGCACCAGTGTGTCAGCAACTCCAGGGGCGCTACTTGAGGGTTCCAGGCGCACCTCAGAGCGGAGCCAGGGCCCACTTGGTGTGGAACCAGCATTTTCTCTACTAACCTTCTTTCTTTTCTTTTTCCCTCTGGTCAGATATGTAAACCTCATCCAGCCTGGAAGAGAAGCCATTCTCCACTCTGGATTTTGACCTCCAGGCACACCTCTTAAAATTTCTCCACCTCCTACTTGAACCTGGCAAAGAAAATGACTCTCAAAAAAAAAAAAAAAAAAGGGAAACATCAAAACGTCATCTTAACATATCTCAGAAGATGCTCATATCATCTTGACTGTTGCCCACAAGCAAGGGTTCTGAGTAAAGAGTCATTTTGTTTTCCTGTAAAAATCTTCAGGTCTCTCGTTCTTGTGTTTTCCTGCCAACACGTTTGAGTGTGTATCAAGGGTGTCTTTATAAAATGCTAACTCTTGAGTTTCTAAGAGAATCTCTACCAGAGGAATAGTTTTTTCTCAGTATATATTTGAAATCTTAAAATCATGTTTACTCCATTTAACAATTTACCAATAAAAACTCACACTTGATCTTTAGAGAACATGATGGCTTATTTGAGGGCCTCAAGATTCCTCACAAGAGCTTTGTTTGGATTGTTCTTAATGTACAAATACAGAAGGTTGCAAAATATTAAATCACATTTTACTGCTATGTACGTATATTTCTAACTCTGCCATAGTCTGCCAGCCCCATACACAGGCACTGATACCCCCAAATACTGGGAGCCCTAGAAGGTGTGATCTTTAGCATCTTGTCAGTGTTTCATTTTGAAGTACATACTGCAGTTTACTATAAAAACATGTTATTATTTTTATTGTGTACATAAGGCAGTATTTGGCTGTTGTCTGATGGGGTGTGTTTAATTCCTCTAAATGTTTACTGTGTATAATCCTTTTCTGCTTGTGCTCTCCAGGCCTGCCCTTCAGTATACACTCAGGCTTGAGATGTGGAATCAAAATTTGCTTGCCTTTCTCTAGCGGCTGGCTGCGAGTGAGTACAGGAGCAGTGTTATTCTTCGGTCCCCTTGATAGGCACAGAGACATACACAGTGTACACACACACACACGTGTACACACACACACGTGTACACAGGATATATGTTTCCTGAAATCCATTGAATCCTGCTTAAACCATTGACTAAAACTTGAATTCACATTAGTGGTCCTAATGCTAGTGAGTTTTCTGGTGAATCACAAATAGTTTGAAGCAGGCCTGTGTTCTTTGTACCCGCCAGTCTTCGATTAGTAAAAGGAAGTAGTTATCCTTTCTGATTCCCTAGTTCTTCGCTATTCAAAGTGTAGTGCTGTATCTTTGTTACAGAATAGAGCTTGCTGCCTTAGATTTAAAAACTTTTTATACACTAGCTCTTTTATACAAAAGGCAGAGACAGTCATCTTAACAGATGTGATTCTGATATTTTTCTGTACAGATTTCACATGTTGAAACACTGTTACGCCTTCATATAAATGTGTGTGTTCTATGCAATAAACTTTGCAGGTAAAGCAGGTTTTCTTCTTATTTTAATAATAAAAAATGTACTGGTGGTGGTATAAAGGTGACACCAGTTGTTAACCAAGCTATGAACACAGGCAACCGGTATGTTCGATAAGTAATCAGATCCTCTGATAAGTAATCAAATCCTCTCATGCCCCTCTGCAGTCACTTGGTGATTTGGTGGCGTTCCACCGTGGGACATTAAGATGTGAATTTTGAACTCTGGTCTTCTTCCTGCACCTGTTTCAGTGCTTGTTAACTCCTCCCTGTGACGGCTCTGACTTATACTTGAGGCCAGTGATTAAAGTATCTTTCTTTTTGCTGTGGTAAAATTCACGTAAGTGGCATTTAGTACATTTACAATGTACAACCATCACCGCTATCTAGTTCCAGGATGTTTTCATTATCCTTAAAAGAAACCCAGTACCCTTTAAGCAGTCACTCCCCATTCCCTCTCCCACAGCCCTTTTTTTTTTATAAATTTATTTATTTATTATTTTTGGCTGCGTTGGGTCTTCGTTGCTGCGTGCGGGCCTTCTCTAGTTGCAGAGAGCAGGGGCTACTCTTTGTTGTGGTGCGCGGGCTTCTCATTGCGGTGGCTTCTCTTGTTGTGGAGCATGGGCTCCAGGCGCGCGGGCTTCAGGAGTTGTGGCTCGCGGGCTCTAGAGCACAGGCTCAGTAGTTGTGGCGCACGGGCTTAGTTGCTCCGCGGCATGTGGGATCTTCCCGGACCAGGGCTCGAACCCGTGTCCCCTGCATTGGCAGGCAGATTCCCAACCACTGCGCCACCAGGGAAGCCTCTCCCACAGCCCTTTTAAACATCACATTTGGTGCTGGCTGCGCATGAGGCAAACACATTTGCTTTTGAAAGTCTGAGCGTGCACTCAGGCAGTAATTGTGCTCTGTTAACATGTGCATCCCTTCATGACATCACTGTTACGGTGTGTGGCCAAACCAGTGTTTTGATCTGCCCATAAATGTTTAGTTTCGAATCTGGAAACATGTTCCACTGCACTAGGTTTTGTGTTTGATAAGGTGAGGTCCTTGTTTATCCCCGATCTTTGGCACCTGGTGCTTTGAGAACAGTGGCAGCCATTCCCCACTTGGCATTCAGTACCGGGCCATCCACTGGGGCTGTTGAACCAGGACATTCCCTGGTGCGCAGACAACCTGAAGTACGGTCAGAGCACCCTGCTGACAGCCCCGAGGTGATGGACGCTGACCCGGCCTCCGTGCTTGCCGTAGGCCGAGGGCAGGCCCCTGGCCTCTCCCGGTGGATTCTGCAGATAGTGCATTTCCCACGCCCATGTCATCCGCGCCCCCCACTGCCCCCGTGTGCAGTGAAGCTTTTCAATAGCTCCAATCCCCGGCAACCAGAAAAACGCGGTGAGAACACTAGAAAGGATGCTGGACAGGAGGTCTGAGGACCCCAATTCCTGCCGAGGGGGCTGCAAGCCCTCCAAGCAACTCTGCGCCCGTCATGGCCCCTCTGAGCCGTTGCTGTCTGGTGAGGGGGCTGGGGGCCTGCGCTAGGATCTCGGAGGGCCGTCAGTTCTCAGGAGTCGCTAACTCACTGGCGAGAGCTAGAGGGTCGCGAGGTGGGCGTAGAACCGCAGCAGCAGCTGGTGCCAGGACGCACAGCCCGGAGGCAGACCGCCCGGCCTGTCCTATCAGGGCTCAGTCTGATCCCTGCACACCCTGCAGGCCTGGTCAGTTGAAGCAGGTCCCAGAAAGGCCGCCTTGCCCTCGGTCTCCCTCCCCACCAATCCAGTTCCAGTGTTTCCAGATGGCCTCGTCTCATAATTTCCCAAACAACTAACTGTGTTGTAATAACCGTAGTTAGTTATGTTTACACAGTCTATGTGCCAGGTACTTTATAGGTATCATTTTAAACCCTCACAACAACCCTGTAAGCTCCCTTGGGAAGCAGAGGGGCACCATCCCAACTCCCTACCCCACACCTGCTTCCTTGGTGCCCCTGGAGATGACTAGACAGATTCATTCTCATTCTCTCTCATTCTCTCCCCCCCCCCCCC